TTTTCTTGAATCCGCCCAAAAATCTGTTTCTCTCTGCAGCAGAGATAGGAATTTCACCTTATGTTTTCCCCCAAGTAGGTCGCCCTTTATTAAAAAATTAAAGTCCTTGTGGATTCCACCGTTATCATAAATGAAACTTCCATGTGTTTACGGGTCTGTTTCTGAAAATTATTCTGTTGTATTACCATATACCGGCTATATTGTCCATTTTCTTTTTCTACTTAAAACTTAGAATCTGGGGATCCCTGGGTGGCGCAGCGGTTTGGCGCCTGCCTTTGGCCCAGGGCGCGATCTGGAGACTCTGGATCGAATCCCACGTTGGGCTCCCGGTGCATGGAGCCTGCTTCTCCCTCTGCCTGTGTCTCTGCCCCCCCTCTCTCTCTCTCTGTGTGTGTGTGTGACTATCATAAAATAAATAAAAAATTTAAAAAAAAACTTAGAATCTGCATTTGAAATTACTTAAACATCTTGCTAGGTGTTCACTGGCCTTCCTTTGAATTTGCAGATTATTTGTGAGAGAACAGACATCTCCCCAGTGTTAAGTTTTCCCATTTAGGAATGTAGCACCACTCTCCACCTGTTAAGGATAGTTCATAAAATTTTATAGTTGTCCTCCAATAGATTTTGTCCATTTTTTGGTGGGTATAGTTGTAGTTAATTTATATATATAATTTATATAGAAAAATATATGATTATATTTAATTTATGTATATTTTAAAAACATAAACATGTATAATTTTATATATTTTTCTTTGACAAGTGGGTAGTTTTCTAACCGGTCGTGGTTATTGATTGTGCTGATGATGTACCCGGTCAGCTCACTGGCCTCTTTTATTACAGCTAAAAAGTTTTAAGTTGATTCTCGTGGAATTTTTAAGTAGTCAATGGTACTGCCTGAAAATAATGACTTTTTTTTTTCTTCCTGATATTTATAATTGCTTTCTCATTTTGTTTGTGTTTTTGTGCTGGCTAGAACCAAAGGTGAACAAGAATGGTGATGGCGAGGATCCTTTCTTGTTGTTTACGTTAAAGAGAACACTCATAGGGTTACCTTGGTTCTTGCCCCAGATGCACCAAAGAATTGGAGATCCAAGACCAGAACGGGTAGCCGGAGTTTATGGAGTAGATAAGTATAGTATAACCTCAGTTATAATATGGTTATAAGTATATAACTTTTTCAAGAGTGAAAGCAGGCCACTGGGGCAAGAGTGGCAATGGCACCGAGATGCTCGAGCTCCGTCCTCTTACACCTGCTTGTGTACATGTAAATTTGGCCTTGATTGACAGTTTTGATTGACGGCTGGTGCTTATGCAACATTCTGGTTTCGGTGCATGGGGCTACCCATGATGCTTTCTGTTATCATTGTATTTATTTATGTTTCGTATATTTATGAGTATCTAGTGAGCTTTTGTTGTGACCTTAAAGGGACTAGAGGGCAAGTTGCACCCTTTGCAGGCATGCTCACAAGGAAGTCTCCTTGAGGCTTTTGAGCCAGCTCTGTGTATTTCAACATCAAGTATAATGTTTGCGTGGGTTTTTGGTGGATACCTTTTATCAGCTTGAGGAAGTGTTTTTCCTCCCTATTCCTAACTTGCTAAAGAAATTAACGGCATTTTTTTTTTAATCAAATGCCAGTGACTATTAATTAGAAGCAAGAAAGTATATTCTGGACATGTTGCTGGACAGGATCCCTTCTTGTTTTTACTAACCGTTCAAGAATAAATAAATTATCTTTATCTTTTAAGAATTTTATCTTCATAATTATCTTTATTTTTATCTTTTAAGAACCTCCTGAAAACAAATATTGAAAAGGTTACTAAAACATTGAGCAAGGGGCATCTGGATGGCTCAGTGGTTGAGCATCTGCCTTGGGCTCAGGGAGTGACCCCGGGGTCCTGGGATCAAGTTCCACATCAGGCTCCCTTGCATGGAGCCTGCTTCTCCCTCTGCCGTGTCTCTGCCTCTCTCTGTGTCTCTCATGAATAAATAAATAAAATCTTAAAAGAAAAAAAAAAAGCAAACATTGAGCTAAGCATCAAAATGCTGTGAGAACCAAAGGTCTCAGGAGGTGACATACGGAGTGAGCGGGGCCTGCTCGGAGTGAGCAAAGCTGTGCTGGCTTTGGTGGGGCCCTTGGAGATGTCCAACAAGGGGTGGGCTCGAATCAAATTCCCCTGGAGCTCTGAAGGTCCTATTCTTCACAATAGTGATTACATCATTGGAGGAGATACAAATGTAAACGAGTCTGAACATCTGCTCGGGAAGCAAAAGCGCGGAAGCTGCACACGTGTTACGCGGACAACGGCGACGTGTCTGCGTGCGCACCAGAGACGACAGCTACACCCAGGCCTGCAGAGAGGAGAGAAGGCAGTCGGTGGAGGCATTAGAAGGAAATATTTGTAGCAAAAACTTAAACGCCTGTTTGAAGCAGGACAAAAAATTTGTCTTCCGAAAGAGATGACTTGAACCCACATCCTTCTTGCCGCTCGTGCCTGGACTCGCTGCTCTCACCTTCCTGTCTCCTGTTGTTCCAACTTCACGCCCTTCTGAGTTTGACTTTGAACCCCTGGGCCAAACCCTGTAGGGATAGAGGCTGCTTTCTGTTTGGGATCCACCCTGGCTGGGGAGAAGCCTGTTACTGCAATTTCAGATGAATGTCAGAGTTTCGGCATCACCTTTATCTACAAACCACTTTTTGCTTTCATGTGGAATATTTACCTCTGTCTATGAGATCTTGGTTGGAAATGCAGATTATTGGTGATTTCAAGCCGGTTTCTTACAGAATCTATAGGTGTTCTGTAACTGCTTTCAAGAGTAAAACTAAGTAAAAAGACAGGCACTGTGTCTCCTGCAGAGTGGGGTGCGGGTCACGGGGCGGGGGTGTCCAAGTGCTTGCATTATTTAAAAAAATGTGAAGACGGGGGCTGTAAGTTTTTCACGGCTCTTGGGGATGCATTTTTGAAAGAGGCTGGTGATGGGTGGCTGAGAGGTCTCCTCTCTTATGACTTCTCTTTCAAAAGAAAATGAATGTTTTCTGGACTCGTAGCACTCAGACCCAACATCTTTACTTTTAAAATGTTTTGCAAGAATGCAAACCACTTCACTACACAAGAGCAAATGTCTTTTATGAGTTTCATTCCTTTTAATGTTTATGAGCAACTAGCAACTAAAGATGCTGGCTAAGGTACTGAGTGTGCACAAATAAATGAACCTTTTTCTTTTGAGATTTATTTTAAAGAGACAGCGGGCGGGAGTGTGAACAGGTGTGTGTGGGGAGGTGTAGAGGGAGACGGAAAGGGAGAGAGAACCCAGCAGACTCCTCGCTGAGGGGAGCTCAATCCCAGCTGGAGATCATGACCCGAGCGGAAACCAAGGGTCAGATGCTCAACGAACTGAGCCACCCGGGCGCCCCTGCTTGGACATCTTTTAGCAGAACTTTGAGCTCTCAAGTGATTTAGGCGGAATTTTGTTAGTGGTTGCTCTTGCCTTATAAGTACATTGTAAAATGACATTTAAAACGTTAAATAAAGGAGATGTTGCAGTTTCGAACCCCAGAAATTAAAATGGTTCCACTTTTCATAGAGAAGGAAGAGTCTATATAATTAAGTGACCACTTGAATGTTGAATAAAAAGAAGAGGTGAGAACGCCTAATGGAATTATAGGGCTTCTAGCTCGTTTAGGTATAAACTGGATGGAGATGTGGTGGCTCAGGTCAACATAATACATTGTAATCGGAATAAACTCATCTGTTTTGCATACGCCAACTCTCTAGCTTTATACCCAACGCTTGGTTGCTGTGAGCACTTGTTTGGAATGTACTTAGAGGGCCGAAGGGTTGTATTGACTGTTCCACACCTAAGTGAGACTCCAGAGAGACAAATTAGGAAAAATTGGATCGAGTGGATGAAAAATTGTGGATCTCCTGGTCAAGTTCAGTCAGCACCTGATCAATGACCTTATTTCTGTCTGTAAAGGTTCCTTTGTTTGTTCAACTTAATACATTGGAGCCTTATTCAGGGTAGTTGAAGCGATTTCATGAGAAAGTTGGTTGGTAATGTCAGCAATATGTAGGATTTAAAAATTCTTCATATGATAAACATTTTTTCCACGTCTAGTACTTGCCTTATTTTATTTGTCACACTTAAATTAAACACAGCTGAGATTAATTTTGGGGTAAGGAGTGAGGTAGGGCTCCAAATTTTCTTTTTCCTTCCAAATCGTTGCCGGTTATCTCAAAATCATTTAACGATTAAGGATGTGACTTAAAAATGTGCATGCGCCCAAAAGGCTATTAAAAAGTAAATACTCCTGCAGTCTTGGAAAAAGTCGTGGCATGGATTTTCTGTTTGCAGATGGTTTTATTCCAGTTAAAGATACGTTGGAGGCTTAAGGAAGGCTCATGAGAAAACAAACTCAGGAGCTAGCAAGAGACGCTCTTTACCTACAGAAAATTTAAACGGAGGGGCTGACTTGAAGCTGCCAAGGAGAAAAAAATGATTTGTGTCAGAATGGCAGGTGTAATAAAAATGTTTTGAGGTGTATACAGAAGGAAGGGTATGTACTGCAGCACATCTGTAACGCTGCCTGGTTTTTTGAGCAGCTGCAAACCTCTGGAGTCCTTGCTCTGGGTCCAATCAGTCATGGCCACAGATCTCGGGACGGGCAGCCAGACGCAATCCTAACTGATCCCGTGCATTTTTTTTTTTTCCCTGAGGGCTCCTCTGTCTCCACTTTTTACTTTATCTTTTCATTTAGCTTGGATTACTTTTTAAATGGTGAAACTCTGGCTGGAAATAAAGAGTATCTCGAATGCAGGACAGCTGAAGAAACAAATGACAGTGATGAAGACAGTGAAGAGCTCCGTGGAAAAACAATAATGATTTGCAAAATACAGTTGAATTTGCATAGCAACGGTCATTTTATTATCAAGATGTTAAGCACTTTAACAATCTATACTTCATTTTTATAAACAAAGAGACGAAGAACCAGTAAAAGAGATGATTTTTAGGAATTTATTATTATTATTAATTTTTTTTAAAAAAGCAACTTCCAGAGTTTGTCATCGCGCAGGGTTAGCCCAGGCTCCTATAGGTACAGTGATAACTGATTTTTTTATAACAATGACTCACCGAAGATCCATAACTGTCTTCTGAATTATCACAGAAAGAGGAAAGGATTAGAAAAAGAGTTTAATGTTAAATGCATTTAAAAAAATCATATTCTAATTCTTTTAAATTGGTTATCCACGTACAATAATATAGTAGAGCTCAGATAACTAGGAAAGGCAACTGACTAGCACACCCCATTCCCACCCGATGTGCACGAGCGGGCTGCATATATCTTCGTGGAGTGCGCAGGCTAATTCAACCCATTTTACACAGCATTAATTGTTTTTATTGAGTTGGCATTGGGCTGAAACTTGCTCACTATCTAATAATTACTATTTTTTCCTGGTTCTTTGATGGATTTTTCTCACCCGACAGTGTTTGGACCCTAGTGTTTATGAGATATCCAATCACCTGGGCCCACTTCAGTGACACGTTCAGCGAGGTGACCCATGGCCAGATCTCCAGGTCTATTGATTAATTTGTCCACCTGCTCTGTTCTTCATCTTGGTGAAAGAGAGAACTTTTACAGTCTCCCTGGAGGATGTGCGAAGCTCCGGGCCAGAAACCGTTTGTGAGCTGGTGTTCGACGGAGGGGACCACAGAACTCAACGTTCTCATTAATGCTGTGCAAACAGGGGTCTCGTCATTCCGGTAACTATTTGTACATTTAGAAAAGCAATACAGTCATGGGAAAAACCAACAAGCACAGCTTGGTAGAAAAACCTGCCATGAAATATCATTGGCTTTATAATAATTTACTACAACCGTTCTTTTTATTCACACTGGATAGGAAATGCTTCCATCTAACACATGGAATACGAATATATACAACGAAAAGTTGGCTTTTATTAAAAAAAAAAACTTCACAAGGACAATAACATGGGGGTTGAAAAAAAAATAATTTTGTGCAGTTTCCTGATCACAATCATATGTCTGCTGCCTTTTACAGGGAATGATACAAGTACTGATGGATTTTATAAACCAGCTAAAGAATTTTCTTGTCTGGACTAGCCCACTATTGCCGTATCCGTACAGTCTAGAGGTCTCACCTTCTCAACTGTAGTTCTAAATGACTAGGGATGACACGATGAGTCAGCGTAGGACAAACCCTGCTAATCCTCTGCGAAATCATCATTTGGTTGCAGTTCCCTATTCATCAAAAAGTTCCCCCACAACATCGTGGAAACTGCACAGGGCTTCTGACTGATGTGCCGCTGAGATCGGAATGTCGCATTGTCACTTGATGCCCGCCATCTCGTGCAACGTCGGCGTCTTGGCTTGGACCTTCTTGTGGCCGCGGGGGGCCGTGCGGCAGTGGCGTGGGGTGGACTGTTTTGCACTGCCAGCAGTCAAAACAGTTGCCATGGGCTCAACGTCTCTACGCTGTGAGCCTGGGGAACCCATTCTCCCATGGAATGGTCTTCCGGAGTCCAGCAATGTCACTGCAGGCGGCTGAGACATTGTGGCCCCGGCTTCTTGGGGGGACTATGCTAAAGAAGAAGCCTAGTGTTCTAGAAAATAGACAATACAGGCCAGGTTGAGGGGGTGGCAGAGGGGGGGTTGCTTTCCTAAGTCCTGGAAACCATCTCTGATGTTAGCTCTACGAGAAGGCGGGGCGACTGGGAGTGGGGGGCTGGAGAGGGCTGGGTCTGAGGTACACTTGGAGAAGTGTCCTTTGGCATTGGCACTGTGGTCCCCCACTAAGACACTCCGCCTGCCTCTGTGTTCCCCTGTCTACACCTCTTATGCCCAAGGATCCCCCAGTCCTCTGTGCAATTCCTCTTTGTTTCCACTTTCTAAGTGGGAATTGAAAAAAAAAAAAAGCTTATCTCTCTCTCAATTCTGACTGATGAACAGGGGCTGTTTAGAGTCGCGGTGTGAGGTCTGGGAAGAAATGGTCAGGCTCCATGGATAGTGCCGTGATTACCAAGTTGGTGCTGAGGGGACGCACGCCATGTCCTTACGTCTCTGTTCTAAGCAAAGAGCAAGGATCAGGCTGGCGTGATGGGTTCTTGGAGCATCTTTGGGAGACCATAACCCAAAGCACTGTTTATTTTATGTTCTTTAAGACTGCGCAGTTTGGGAGAGGAATTTTAGGACCTGTGGAAAGCTGGAGGGGGAGATAATTTTGAGTAGGGTGGTGCAGGAGGCCCTCAACAGTGGCCCTCTGTTTTCACCCTGGATGGCGAAGCCCAATGTTTAGAAAGTGACTGTAGGGCTCACTGGCGACAACAGATTCAGAAAGCCTCGGAGGGATGGGGTGGACCCCAGGCCTGGCGGGAACTTCAAGCAGAACATCTAGTATATTCCTCCTGGGTGGACAGCTTATATGTGTGAGCATGCTGAAAAGCAAGGAGAAGTACATCTGCATCTACACATACGTGGCTTTTCTGTGGTTAATGAAAGAACCTGGAGATGGTTTCCATGCCATGTTAGGACCATGGTCTCTCAACTCTACCTAGAAATCTCTGGTACACAACTTTACCAAGAAAGAAGGAAAGAAAAAAACCCAGTGAGACTGTATGGTAGGTGCTGGTGACGCCATTTGTCTCCGGAAAATGGGGTCAGTCACTTCTTTGTATCTCAAGTGACTTAAACTGAAGCTGAATCTTGATTTTTAGCACGAACCATTAACAGGTTGCTCTTCCACAATGCCTGGTCTTTTGATGGAGTGGACCACGCTGGGCCAGGGCCAGCCACCTCTAGCTGCTGACGCCTGTGGATCTTAGAAACTGCCTGATGCTCCCACCAGTACTCGCCTGTCAATGCACACACCTGATTTCACGTACACAGCAACGTGGCAACATACCTTTTTCCATCCGTAAACACCTGCTCTCTTCCTCACTTGGACACGGGGAGAATTTGAAAGGAAAAGAAGGCATATGTTTTTACTCCTCTGCAAATCCCAAGCGAACGTGCTTTTGGTTACCTGCCTGGTGTTGAGTTTCTTGCCACAGTGGGGACCCCCAGCTTTTCCCAAAGTTGTAGGCAAAGGGTTTTCACCTTCTTGGGTGAGGATTCCTTGGTTCCTAGGCCAAGGGTCCAGGGTCAAGTGATGGAGGTGGAGTGGAGGAGGGAAGGCAGCATTTAGAAACCCAGCAATGGTATTGCTCATGCATCCGACTCTGCATTTCACCCTCAGAGAAATGATTTTATCATTGGTCTCCATGAGACACAATCCCATTTAAGAGCATCTTGGCAGTTTCACGGTCTCCGGAACCTTCTAGAGGTGATGGCTGGCTGGCTAGAATTGTGACTGTAGGTGCCTCATCATTTGTTCTCAGGCATTTCAAAATTTGTTTCTTTCTGCGGATCACGATTGTCGATGTTTTGGTGTTACAAACCAATTTTTAAGCTGTGTGAAGGTCAGTGGGCTTTGTCACCACTCATTTCCAAAGCAGAAGCCTCCCCTAACTGGAAAGACTTATTCTAACACCACAGAGGAGCCTCCTCCCTAAAGTTTCTAAGAACCCAGAGCATGACCTTTGGGTTCTAGACAGAAGGCCTGGGAGGAGGTCGGGAGGGGGGTGGCGCCCTGCTGGGAGGTGGGGCATGAGGGGGAGGGGGAAGGGTGGACGGTGGGGATGGAATCGGAGGGGTGGGAGCACTGGGGGGTGGGGGAGGGCAATGGGGTGCAGGGGGTGGGGGGGTGTAAATGGGGGCAGGAGGCGGTGAGGAGGTGTGGTAGGCGTTGTTGAGGGGGTACTTGGCAGGCTGGCTGTTCTTGACCCGGGTGAAGTTGATGCAGCGCCCCTGTAAGAGAATCAGAGAGAAGGAATGTGAGCCCACGCTGGCTGTTCGCGGCAGGGAGGGTGGCAGGCTCGGTGGGCAGCCATGAGACGCGGGGGAAGCGGTCGCGGGCTCTGACGTGCCCTGCTGGCCTACCGTAGACCCTGACAGCAAACGGAGCCCCGTTTCCTTATTTCTGGGCCGACTGCGTTGTGAAATTGTTAGAATTCATTTTCCTGGAGTCTCTCTCTCAAAGAGGAGGAGGAGGAGGAGGAAGGGGGGGGACCGACCTTAACTAGATGCGTGGGGTCAAGCTGTGTGCAGAGGTCATCAAACGTAATGTCCCCAACAGCCTTGCCGGCCAGGTACCGTTATCACATGTTCTGTTTCTTGGATGGGGAAACTGAGGCTCCAAAACGTTAAACCTCTTTTCCAAGAGGCCACACAACCAGGAAGGGGTGGGGCTGGCGATTCGAACCCCAGATCAGCTCCAGAACCCCTGTCCTTCCTTCTGCACCATAGAAGACCTCCTGAGGAGGGGTCTCCATATTTTTTGAACAAAGGGGACCTGTTTCACGTGATTTCAGGTGCACTCCTGGGAGCAGACAGAGGCCCCAGTGCAGCTCCCCCTACCCTGTGGCTCGGGCCGAGACAGGCCCTGACCTGCGCTGTTGCGGGGCCCTCGTGCCCGTGCCTGTCCCCAGCCTTTGCCCCTGGGCCTTGGGAGCTGAACGGAAGATTAGGAGGCAGCCCCCGCGCTCCCCAGGGCTCTGCCTCCCCCTCCCGCCCGCCCCTGCCCTGCTTGGGGAGGCCCTCTTCCGCCCGTGGGTGCTGTTGCACCTGCTCAGGCACCTTGGGTGCTGAAGAAACGCAGGCTGGGGACCTCCTACTGTGATTCGCTCCCCCCTCCATCCCCCCTGGGGCCTGGCCCCATCCTCCCCTGATGACCCAGGGCCCCCGCAGCGGCCTCTACACAGTCCGGAGTGTGCGCCGGCCCCGGCCCTCCCTGCCCCCCCCACCGGGTGGTGTCCCCTCTCAGCTCTTCCGCCAGTCCTGCCCCCCATGACCTTCTCCTGCCGGTGCCTGGGACCCCTCACTTTTGGCATCAGAGCCTCCCGCCTTGCCTGGGTGGGACGTGGACCACCTTGTGGGGTGCTGGCCTCCCTGCAGATTGCCCGTACCTGTGTCATCCTGTCCCCTTTGCTGCGTGTCCCCCCCACAAGAAGGCTGGGAAGGGGCTCCCTTCAGGCTGCCGGGCCCTTCCTCCCCCTCCTGCTCCTCCTCACCCCATGCAGCGCACACCCACACCCTCCAGGGTGGACGCCCCCCCGTGGCACCTGCCGGGTGGGATGTGTCCACGGAGGCCGGAGCTCCCCTCTTCCGCCTTCGGAGGAAGGGCTGAGGGGCAATGGCAATGAAGAGAGTATGTCTCACCGCGGGAGATACAGGCGGTGACTGGAGACGGGGCTTGGCTGAGGGTCACAGCAGACACATGACGCACGTCTGTGGGAGCCAGGGGGGGCGAGCAAACTTTGCCTCGCGCATGCCCTCCCCACTCAGCCGAGTCCTGAGCCAGCCCCTTCCCTCCACGCATCCTTCCCTGATGACACAAGCCCCCCGAGGTCTCTAGTTATGGTCTATGCTGCACACAGGAGCCTGCAAACGGCAGTTGTTTGATGGGTGAGTGCCTTCCTCCCTGAGACCCGACGAGAAACTTCCGGAAGGCAGCAGCCTTCCACTGCTACGCTCTTGGTTTAGGGATTACAATGCCGTCTTAGGTGCCAGCACCCCGGTTCCTCTGAGCTTGCATTTCACAAGATTGAACCAGGGCCTAACCTCGTTAGCTTCTGATTGGGGGCCCAGTAACCACAGAAATAAGCTCCCACCTTCTGGCAGCATTGCCCGGAACTCCCGGATCAATGTCGAGCTTTCACGGGTTAGGCTGACTTTGCAACCCAGGGCCATAAATCCCCGTGTCCAAGCAGCCTCTTTCACAGCTATTAAACAGGGAGAGATAACAGGCCTCAAATGGAGTCGCTTGTGCTAAGGCCCAGGTCGGCAAAGCAAGACTCAATACCTACCCTAACGGCAGTTAGGGAAAACTTTCCCTTTCCATTTCAAACTTTCCCAGAAATGTCATCTTAAACTCCTCAATCTGGGATTTCCCAGTTCAGCATTAGTGAGGTAACCTGCCTCGAAGGCGCCGTCTGTCCCCCAAGGAAAGATGAGGTAACCCGCTCTCTCCCTGTCCTTGTCCCCCGCCCCCTGCTTCTGCCTATAAAAGTCCCCCATTTCGTCCATCTCCCCGGAGCTCCTTTCTATTTGCTAGGTGGGCTGCAGCCCGATCCATGAACTGTTAAGGAAAGCCACTAAGATCTTTAAATTTTATTCAGTTGAATTTTGTTTTTTAGCACAGCTTTATAAATTGAAGGCCTGGGAATAGTTTATTTATAATTCTGGATAAAGCTCTTTCCTTGAAGAATGTGAAAGTCCTAATGATTACCATCTGTGATAAATTCCTGTGACGGACAACTCAGAGTCGGGATTTACTGTACTACATGGTCTGCCCTTTGTTCCTAGACCTGCTAACTCAGACAAAGGGACTCGGAAGATTCATTTCCTCCGTGGATGAAGGAGAACGCTGGTCCTGAGGATGGAGCTACCGGTGCCTGGGGTCGTGTCCCCATATGGCTTCACATCTCCCTGAGGGCTGGCCACCCCTCGGCTCCCTCCCCGACGGGGGTGCTGCAGCAGGGACGAGGCAGGCTAACTCAAGGCCCGTTGACTTATTTCACACACTGTGACGCTACTATTTTTACCAGAGACTGTTCTGTCCAGAGATGAAATGGGGCCCTCCCAGCCTTCTCTACCAGTAGGCGTTTGTTTATAACCCAGATCAGAATCCCTGGATGTCCTCAGTAACGTGTGAAAGGATCCACAGAAGAAAAGGTGGCCTCTCCCTCCCACCGATCTGTCGGCTGTGGAGGTGGGGGTCGGAGTGAGGTGGGAGAAAGACCTCCCTCCAGTCGCACATCTTGGCCATAGCAACAGAGGATGGGGGTGGGGCAGGGAAGAGGCCCCTTTCCTGGGGTCAGTAATAGTCCAGGGCTGCACCCATGGGTCTCCCGCTCCGGAGCACCAGCCATGGCCCACTAGACACCCCACCCACTAGAGCTGAGCGCAGCAGCCCCGAGCTCTTAGTAAGCAGCCAGGACCGGGTGGGGGCAAGCTCGCAGTCTCCTCCGTGCCCCTACCCTGTGCCATGGGGTGGGGATAACAGTACCACCTGCTGCTTAGAACCCTTATGAGGATTAACTCGATCAGTGCTGATGAAGGCCTTGGAGCGGTGCCTGCCGCATGGAGTTCATGAACGGAGTTGAGTCTCGCTGGAGCAACAGATGCGCGGACACAGCGATGACCTTGTCTAGGGTCTAGGGTAGGAAGGCCGGTTGGAGGTAGTATCGGGTTTTCCGACTGCTAGTTTAGTGCCTTCTAAGTGAGCTGCAGCCTGAAGCCTCCACACTCCACACCTGGCTTCCAGAACAAAGCTGGTATAGAGGGGAGACTGTGGCACCCAACACGTGACCGGAGCAGGCCCCGGAGCCCCGTCTCGCGCACTCTCTCCACGCCTCCCGCGGCACCAAACTGCTGTAACTGATGCTTATAGGACCTCCCGCCATGCTTTGCACACACAGTTGGCCGATGATGTCTTTACACGTACTTATCGTCCTGAAGAAAGGTGCAGACCTGGCAGGGACGAGTCCCTGGGGTCGGTTACAGTAAGATGCAATTAGGACTTCAGGGAGGGTGTGGCTACAAATTAAGTTCTTAAAACCTGGAACCAGAGGAGCCAACACAAACACTGTAACACTTAGACCATATAATTGGCCTAAAGATCAGTTTACACGACATCATTTTTTGCTTGCGAGAGGATAATAGAGAGGCCAGATGTTCTCAGTGTCACATATGCCAGCAAATCTGCACCAGTGTTTGCTTAAAAGGTTGCTAGGGCGACCGGAGCTCTTGGTTCGCACACTGGTCTCTGTAACCCAGTTAAATTCTTTGCAGTATTGTTTTTGGGTGGTTTGATTCGAATCCAACATTTGGCCTTGACCTCAGTTTACCTCGGCTCACTCATTTACAAAGTACGAGTGCCAATTTTTTTCACACATTAGCAACAAAATATTCTGGTTAAATTCTAAGAAGAAAATGCAAGAATATCTCCTGCTAAGTGGTGGCTTAGCAGGATGCGAGGTGGCTTTTCTCCTAGGCTGGAAAATGCCATTTTGATTGGACCGAACCTAATGGTGTTGAGAGGATTATTGGAAAGGTCCAGGCATGTCATTTTTATCCATTATTTTCACAGTGTAGAAATGAGACCGAGGGCTCAGGCTTATTTATATATGGTGCCCAGGATGACACGGCAGTACAGGGCAGACGTAGGACTGAAACCAGCTCTGCTTGCCTTCACCACTCACCCTTGTTCCCTGTTATCCTGAATAGAGACTAAAAATGCAAATCTTTTCTTGAATCACTTGTGGATAGAATCACATAATATAGCTCCTGGCCACAATCCATCAACTCTTGACATAGCTGTCAAGAGATCTTTCCAGAACACAAGTTTGGTCAATTCAATGCCCGGCTCAAAATCCTTCAATGACTCCCCATTATCTTTAGAATAAAACCCAGACACCTCTGATGGCATGTACGGCTCTTTGTGATTTGGTCCTCGCCTACATCTTTCAATTACTTTTTGCCTCCCGATTGCAGGATGTCCAACTTGGCCCATGCTGAGCCCCCCGCAAAAATATGTGAGAATATAATATGCCATTTGGCATTCTTCTCCGCTTAAACGTTGCTCCCCAACTGGTGGCTGAGTGTCTCTGAGATGGCCTCTGGGTCTTCTCCTCTGGAGATATTTATAGGTTCAAATTTAGGTTGGTGCTCAACAAAGACTGCTTAGATCCCTGAGGGTTTCTGAGGTGGAGCAAGCCTTCTTAGCTCAGATTTTTCCCTGCAAGTTC